CAAGTGAATAAAAAAAAACAATTGCTTTTACTCAGTAATTGGTCAGCTTTACGTGAATAAAAATTTCAGCAATTTTCCTTAAATTTTTATTCACGTAAAGCTAAGCAATTACTGAGTAAATTGCTTAACTTTGCGTGAATAAAAATTTGTGTAAAACTGCTAAAGTTTTATTCACGTAAAACTGACTAATTACTGAGTAAAAGAATTGCTTTTTTTTATTCACCCGGCCTTTTATCTAAAGACATAAAAATGGTACCTCAAAAATTTAACTTATTTGGCATTCTTACAAGAGTATTTTGTTAACTCTTAAAAGTAAAAACTAAGTGGATGTCCAAATATTGTGTTTTAACCAGGATCTTAATAGATACCTAATATTCTGAGGTCGTTTTAATTGTACATTAAAATATTATTAGTTTTTACAATAGTTACCATAATTACATTATCATAAAATAAGTTATTAACAAAAAATTTTACAAAATATTATAAAAAAAGTGTGAAGTATAAAAAGAAATAATTAGGAAATAATTTTCAAAGTAAGATAATTGAGTAATTATATTGTTATAGGAATGGTGTTTGCTTTTAATTGTGTACTAAAGATTTTCCCGTTTCATATTGGATACCTTCCTTAATTTTGAGCTCATACTTAGAGAAAGCTCTGTCAATAATGGAAAAACGATAAAGATTTGTTAAATTTTTGCATTGTTGTTATGATGCAAGGTGTTTGAAAATATGGGAGGCCTTATGGTAACTATTGGTAAAATAATTACTATGTTAAAAACTAGTAAAATATTTATGTACACAAAAAAATTGTGTACATACAGTGCCGTGCAGACATATTTTGCGGCCCCAGGCAGACTTTCTTGAGGGGCAAAAACCGCAATTTTTTATAATATTATTATAATGTAGGAAATCATTTCAAATCTTCAATTAACTGTATTTCAAGAAAAACTTTTACAACTTGACATATTCTTCAATTACATAATGCAATCTTTCTGGCCTTAGTTATAGCAAACTCTTTTATTTTTTCCTCGTACTTTAGACTACTGCTCTCATGCTCAAAGCTCAGTAATTCCCATTGAGTCGCTCTTGTAACATGGTGGTCCTCAGTAATGCTAGCCCATTGAGTCGCTCTTGTAACATGGTGGTGTAATATGTCTCAATCAATTTCAGTTTGGAGAAAGATCTCTCCCTTTAGCAACAGTGACTGGTATTGTCAGTAGAACTCGAAGTGCTATACAAAGGTAAGGGTATAGCTCAGTCATTTTTTTCTTAGTAATATATTGAAGCACTTCAATTAGTGATGTCACACCAAGTGGTAGTAAATTGATAATATTTGAAATTTCCGTGAAAAGTTCTTGGCTGTCAATATCATTTCTCCCTTTCTATTCAGTTTTGTTTTCAATTCTTTACAACTAGTCCTTAACCCTTCTTTATCAATAATCTTAATATTAAAAAGGAATCCAAATGTTCCACACAAATGATTTAGTTCAGTGAATCGTTTATCCAACCTATGTATGGCTACTTTTTTTGTCTCATTGAAGAAGTTAATCCATAAATTTTCCATTGGTGTAAACTATGCATGTTCAGCTGATTTGTAGAGAGATTGTTTTTTGACCTTTCTCATTCGAGGTTGAGGCAGCTCAGTATCAATTTCACAGCTGCAACTTTGTGAGATTCGTGTAACAAACTGTCAAAATTATTTCTAAGAGCACTGAGAACTACTATTTTTTCAAACTGCAAGTACTTGCTTGCAATATTAATCTGCAGCAGGAGTTCATACCATATCACAGTCTTTATGATGAAGGCATATGATGACAATTCGTTTGTCAAAGATCTCGTTCAGGGATCACTTTTTTTGTTGAGTTTTCTAATTCTTCTAGTAGTACCATAATTTCAGGTAAATGGTTACTAACAACTTTTAAAATTTCTATTCGAGATTCCCAGCGTATCTCACTCCATTTCTTTATTGTTGCTTGAACACATTGTTCAATGATTGTCCATCTATGTGGTGATGCTGAGAAAAATACATACAAAAGATATTCAAAAATTAACTTTGTGGATGCATTGCATTTGCCTGTATAAGAAAGAGTGAGAATTATTAAATGGGCACCACTTGAAAAATAGAAAGCTAAAGGATTCTGTTGCAGAACTCGTGCTTGTATTCTTTTGATGCGATCTTTCATGTTGCATCCTTGTCCTCTGAACCCATCAATATTTATGTCGTTTTCAGTCAAAAACGTATTAATTAATTTTGTAAATCTTTTGCCTGTTTGATCTTCAGCTAACATAAAGCCCAAAAAATATACTTTAATTATTGCAGAAATTTCTGAAGTTTCGACAAAACGTACTACTATAGTTATTTGCTTTTTATGGGCCTAGTCTGAAGTGCTATTCAATATAAGAGCGAAGTATTTTGCCACCTTTAGACGATGAATAATTTCAGTTTGCACTTTTCTTGACACAAGTATGATTAGCTCATTTTGAATCCTGTTGCTTAAAT